ACAGCACACGATCTCTGATGTAATCTCTTTCTTTCTCTCTCTCTCTCTCTCTGCTTCTCACTTTAATAAAAGAAAAACTTTAATCAAACACATTAGAAAAAATACATACGAGGTACCCAATTATCCGTAACTTGTTGTTATGTTTTGTTTATTCGCGTGGCGTATACACGAGAGGGCGGATAGATGTGTATAAACTGAGAGTCAACATTAGGAACAATATCTTTCTCTTTTGTTCTCTCTTTCCTCCTTTTGTTCAGTACATATATATATATATATATATATATATATACGTACATTTTATAGAATATTAATGAAATATTTTACACAAGCTCATAATTCATCCAGGCAAAAGCCAACCAGACGTTGAATTATTAATCCAACAACCGGGTTCTATTTCATTGCAGTGTTACGAGAACAAACATTAAGCTTTTACAATCTATACCAATTTGTAATGTGTGCTAATGGACACCGGATATGTGTGTAAATGTTAAACTTTTTTTTTTTTATACGAAAAAGTTCAGAGTTATTTGATTTTGGTAATAATAATACTTCTATCTCAAAGTTTGCAATTGACCCGCACCCGCGTGAAATATTTCTGATAATGAAGGTTCAATAAATAAACGTTGATACGCACACGAGAGGCAACAACATCAACGATTGCGCGTAACTACAATTTCATGACTTCTTTTTTTTTTGTTTTTATCTCGTGTATCAAATCATGGCGGTTAACCTCGTACGATATCAACTGATATATCCGATGAAATTGCGAGTTTTCATCTCCGTTCCCGTGATATAATGAGGGCATTGGCAATTACACGATGCAGAAAGCAGCGCGCGCGCATTCTCTACCTTCGCCCACATCGAACGCTAAATTACAATCATCATAAATCACAGTCGCACATTTTAATTATCGGAACGCGCTACATTGCGCACGAAAACATTGCGAATCGAAATGCAATCGAATTAAATCTTAACGCGGAATCAATGCGGTCTTTCCACTCTCATCGATGTGATTTCAATAACCGTCGCGCGCGAATCTCACGCTGATCCCGCGCGCAGACATTTGCGACAAAATTCTAAGCTCGATTCTCAAAGTTTCAACAAGAAACTAAAGAAAAGTCTCACGCGACAAAATTATTTTTTTCCATTAACACTCGTGTATACGAGCTTGCGCGTGCACGAGAAAGAGAGAAAGAGATAGAGAGAGAGAGAGAGAGAGAAAGAGAGAGAGAAGCGCGCGCGTTTCGAGTTCGAGAATCGATATCAACGGTATATAGGCGTCGTCTCTTGCTCCGTTGCGGCGCAATACGCGCAATGTAAAAATCTCGATATCCGACAGCCGTGGTGCTCAACCAGTGACAGTAAAGCGCCCGGGCCCCGACGCGTTAAACGAACACGCTGCTGGAACGTAATCCCCGGCGGAACATTCTGAAATTTTAACGAAGACTGACTTCCGCCCTCCCTTCGACGTTTTTCCGCGTCCGCGATGCTTTCTGGGGCATCGATCGCAGATTACTTCGTCGGAACTTTGAAACTGATTATTGCAAAGCGGGGTATTTTGTATGAGCGAACGCAAAAGAGAGAGAAAGGGAGAGAAGCTATTTCCTCGAACAACGATGCATTAACTATTTTTGTTGAAACGTTTTCCAAGAACATCTCACCGTATATTCCATGTTCTAAGTATTTATCTATATAAAAAAAATATATATTATATACCTTCCGTTATAAGTCTCAACAAAATAACAAAAAAAAAAAAAGTACCCATCGGCAGTTCGAATTCGATCACCTCATAGACGACGAGTCGTCGACATCGCTTCACGGCTAATCAATTTGATATTAAATCTGATCGACTGTCGACTTCATTCTGTCGAACGGACGATCAAACAACACTAATTTCTTCATTGCCTTTTAATATCCTATCGATATACATTCCGCAATACAATCCCGAGAATTAAAAAAACACGCGCGTAATACACACACACACACACACGCGCGTGATAACGTCAAAAAAATCGCACAAGTGACGCTCTTACATTCGTTCGTTTAGTCTGTGACAAAATCTAATAATTTTTCTTTTGTGAGAAATCGCATTAAAAATTTCCTGCTGAAACAGTAGAATTCTAATTGCGTTCTAAAGCAAGAGAGTAAAAGAGAGTCTCACGTGATACACACATTCAGCGCGCAAGTGGCACACGTTGCTCATTAAGAGAGAACACGGGTGCAGTATTTTGAAGAGCAACCTCTTCGGAAGCGCATTCGGGGGACCTGCTCTTTCCGCCCGAGTTATACGGTAATTGAGAAACAGCCATCGGCCGACGTAAAGCGTATAACGTGGAAAAATACGCAGTGCCCGCGGCAGTTTCGCGTTAGGGGAGGCTTTTTCCTCGCTCATCCGGGAATAACTCACGATCGGTCGGCGATCGGTAACGACGGTCGGGAGAGAGCGAGAACTGGGGGAGCTCGAAGGGGGGAAAAAAGGAGGCTGTGTGCGAAAGCCGCTCTCTGAAATCGAGCTTCCCCATAAGAGAAATATCTCTCTCGCGCGAAACCGGCGATAAATCGAACCGACTTATTACCGCGCGTGTCGCGTAATCTCTCGGACTTCACGAAGAAATGTGTGAGCCGCCGAAAATAAATGTGCACGCTGGCCGCACAGATCAGATCACCGACCGCCGTATCGTAAAACAAAACAACACAATGAGTGAATTTTACATCAGTGTGCCAGGTGAGTCCGAACAGACTCTCCGTGGAAATTAAATCGGGAACGCGCGGGAAGAAAAGAACAGGGTGAGAAAGAACAGAGAAAGCTGCTCATCGTTTTCCACTTAGCGCATTGATTGATTTACGACTGACACCAGACGCAATGAGGGCGAGTGAGGCAATGATCGATCGGCAAGGATCGCACCGCAGCAGGTTGATAACGAAAAACAGAACGGAAGGAATTTTCCAAGTATTTCATAGAGATACAGAAGAAAAAAGAGAAAGAGAGAATCACAAAAGCAGCGAGCAACGGCTAATACAAGTTGGTTGTTAGTTGTAACGCGATCGGTACAAGTCCTATTTTCATGACACACACGTACGCGAGAGTTACGACACACGGTGGAAATAGCACGTGACTTTTTTACATGTCTGATATCTAGGCTGACGGGGAATACTATAAATGGACAAGATGTACACATCCACGAAAATTTGTGAAGCGCTTACAACACGCCCAGATTATCGGAAAGATCTTATCGCGTGCGCGCGCGCGCACACGCGCGCGTCGAGCGACCTTTAACACACGAGCGACGACGGGCGAAGGGATATTAATGTCTCCCCGACTTCAACGAACCAATAAATTTTGGACTTCAAATCCGGCAGTTTATAACATCCGCCCGAACGATCGCGCCGAGTTCAATCGTCGCGCGATATTTCGCTTTCGCGGAATGTTTATCGCGGAAACTGTGATATTTTCGTTGACTTATAACTTCGCGCACACATTTTCCTGCCCGAGTCGTGTCCCTTAACTTTTCCGTGTTTGCTTTTCCCGGAAGTCCCGGAAGAAACAGGTCCAACTTCAGAGTCATATCATATATTTTTCTAGACAATATAAATATTCCAGACAATGTAAATGTTTCTTTTCCATCTCCTTTCTTGACTGTGTCACATAATTTGCACAAAATTCGTAATAATTTTTCAAAATCTCTCTTCCTTAAAAAAACAAAAAAACAAGAAAAAGAAAAAAAGAAAAATTCAGTCGTGGGATCAATCAGAGACGGAACTTCTAAACGCACGAGGTAACGTATGATTTTTTTTTTTTTTTTTGTTTTTGTATCCGCCGCGTCTCTCGAACAACATAGAGATAAAAATTGTCTTGAAAAATCGACGTCGAGTTAGAGATTTCTAAGCCCGTTACCGCGGAGATCAACGTCGTAGAATTTGCGAAGGGAAGGGAAAAACCTTCGAGACATCACGGGCAAAAGTTGGCCGTGTCCGCGTGACACGTCGATGTTTTTCCAAAGGAGCGAGGGAGTTTCTCAAATCGCGCGATCTAATTCCGCGCCGGCGAGTTGCATCCGCGGTACAGCTCCGAAACTTCGTTGACCGAACGAAATGCAGTTTTGTCGCGGTCGGGCGACGATGCGCCGTGATGGCAGGTCGCACCCTCTTCGCCCGGCGCACACCCGTGGTTGCGGTGATTCTATTATACGTTGCACACTGTTACCGAACACCGCGTCGTCCGTAATTATGATTGACGAACCGATTTATTATATACGCGTACGTGCACGTCACTTTTAGGCGTAATTAGTTACGCGCAAATTATATAAACAGAAACACACACTTCCCACGTGCGCTTATATATTAATTAAACCACGCGTCTAGCGCAAATGAAGTGTGGGTGACGAAGTGCGGTTGTTACTTCGACGAAAAAACTTTCAAGTTGAATAAAACCCGAGGGCGAGGGTGACGATTTCTTAGCAACGCGTCCCGCTAATAACGTGGAAGATGGCGTTAGAATGCAGCCAGGTGGAATTGTCGCTCTGTTATAAATTATGTATTTCGTCTAAATTTATTTTCGAACTTTCACATCAGAATAGCCGAACGAGGCGACAGGACCACCGATCAAAGTCGCGTCGCGCGTAAAAATCGACTCGATGCAAGGCGTCCTTGAGGCGACAACGTGTTTATAATAATATCCGTTCTAATTCCGACGATATTTTACGGTCACACGTCTGAAGCGTGTTCGCGGTACATATTTTGTTTGTATCTTTTCAATTCCGGCCAGAATAGATTGATCAGTTACCTACTATCCGCTATGTATCTTCGCAACCGATAGACGTGTCCGCCTCTCGTTGTTGCGAATCGCGTCCGCAAGATTTATAACTTCCTCCCATCGCAATATTTTCATTTCGAGAAAATATTATCCGTCCGATTTCATTAAAAGAGAAACAAAAACGTAAACAATAAAAAAAAAAAAAAAAATCGTAAATATATGCATATACGTTGATATCGGGTCTTACCTTGAGGTAGAACTGTGAGCAAGACGAGTTGGAGAACGACGGCGACCGTATTATAAAATTTTATTCGCAGCTGCGGTAGACCTCTTGTCTGGTGCGCCATGGCAGATGAATTTTGCGAATCCAGGTTGATGCTCGACATCGACTTGCCGATGTTCTTCTAGCGAGCCCGACGTGCCGCGCCACGTCGTCGTGATTGCACTGCACAAATTTTGCGTGTTCACCTCTCTCTACATGAAACGGTCACCGCCGCGAGTATCGCCCGGAAGCGCTTTGTCGCCCGCTGCGTCACCGATTATCATCATCATCATCATCATCATCATCATCATCATGCAGGTGTCACGAGTCGAGTTCAATTCCGCACGAATCGTTCGCTAATCGATACACGATGCCCTCGCTAACGCACCTCCCGACTTCGCCGTCATAACCAAGCGTTCTTCTGCGCTCCGCGGTTACGTGCGTGTTCGCGAGGAGGTCTCCGTTCTGTGCTGTGACGAGGTGGTGGCGATTTATCGTACTCGCAGAGAGAACGCGCTACGTTCGCGCGATAGAGACGCTCCCATGCGTTTCGAACATTCTCGCGAAAGATCCTAAAAAGTAATAATGGATTTCGTACGTGCGTGAGAAAAAAACAACAACCAAGTTATCGCGCCTGTTATCTCTCTCGTCTCGAAATCACGCGCGATATAACGCGTCAACGCACTATCTACTGCTGACAAAAATATATGTGAGACGTGAGTGTTTATGTCGTTGATAGAAGTTACAATAACAAGAAGTACAACAACAAGATAATTTCCAAAATCAGGATAGGGTTTAATCGACATTGAAGTTGTTTATATTGGAACTGATGTGTGTTAAACGCGTACTGATCGTCGTAAAACACAAGCGGAATGAAAACACTTCAAGTTGAATACAACTGCTATTTGTTGCGATTCTTTTTTTTTTATGTATATAATATCATACATTCGCGACACTGTTACACGAGAGCATCGAAGACTCGGATGATTTACAAGCGTAGCCGCGACTGATTTACTATTTCACTATCAGGCGAAAGGAAAGATTTCTTCTTTCTATTCCCCTTGGAAAGACGTGCCGCGACTAAGGACGATCGGTTTTCGCCGGGCTCCATTACCGTAAATTTTATCACCATTTTTTCCGGTGATACCAAATGAATTATTAATATATTTGTAAAAAGTAGCGTGTACAAATTCACGGAATCCTTGGTTGTAAAATTGTTTTTTCTGTGTCTCATTGAAAATTCCGACTGGATCTAAGCAATATATCTTTTTTCTTCTCGCGCGCGTACTTTTTGCACGCGCATTCGATCGGACGAATGATAAAGAGCCTCTTTTTTTTTTTTTATTTTTTATTTTACGCGACAAAAATACCCGAATTAATTAGAAATTCTCTCTCCGAGACGACCGACCAGTCATTGATCACAATTCCGACGTTACGATGACCTATTTATCGGACTCGCGAGCGAGGGAGTAAACGCATTAAATGGCAACGCCATTACGCGCGCGGATTTCCACCTACCGACACAGGTAGCAATTTTTTTCCCATTGTGTCGCAACAACTCGCGAGCAACAAAAGGCGCGAGTTTTAATCTTGCAGGAAACGACGTCTGCGAAGTTTTTTGACGCGCTCTCCGCGTCTTATTGCGCTAGTCGATACAACACGAGCGTGTTACATCCGCGAAATGCGCAATCGATATTTTTCACGCTGTTCCGTTCCGCGTACGGATTCGCGTTATATACGGGAACGAAACGTATCACTAGGAAATAGAGGATCCGAGAATTCCCTCGGAGAATTCGTGCCCGGTTTACAGGTGTCCGTTGCGACTAAACGACGCTTTCTCTCGCTAGCCGAACGGCTCCCGTTCTCCCCCACGCGGCGGCGTCCGTCGTTACGAGTACTCTCACCCCGTTCTCAACCGGCACATCGGGGCTCACTTTATTACTCGCTCGCACCCGCCATGTCGACAATGCGATCGGAATTTCTCGCGCGAAACACCGCCGCAAGACCAGAAACGACAATTGTCTACTCCGCCGGGGAGGCTTTTTTTTGGAAAATTCTCTCGCGCAATAAAAAAAAAAAAAGAACTCTCACGCGAGAAACACCCACCACGGATACAAGTTCGTTGTGTCTTAGAAACTCGGCGAAACAGGAAGTATCGGTTCTGCGATATAGACGAGCGTTCGTAACGCCGCGAACGACGCCGCGATACTTTTTGCAGTTGGCTCCTCGCGAGCACGCTGTTGCGATTTCCGACCTATGCCCACACACACACATACACACACACACACACACACTCTCTCTCTCTCTCCTTCCAAACGAACTACGAGAGGGGCGCGGATGTGCTATCCGTGACTCTTGGCAGCACTACGGACCTGCGTTCGCGGCCTGGCCGATGATCGTCTTCCTCGTCTCGCTACAGTCTACCGCGCGTTCCATCTCTCACGAAGCAGCACCACCACCTCCGCCTCCTTCGCTGCTTCCTACTTCACCGGAGCGCAACACGGTGTTGCCCGGTATCCAGGCAACTTCGAACGCGTAGCGTGGCTGCTCCCTCTGCCACCGAAGCGCGTTCCACGTAGACAACGAAAATTCACCGTTCTCTCGTTCGCGGTTTTCTCGCTCGCTCGCTCGCTCGCGCGTTTTTTTTTTTTTTGTTTTCTTCTACTTTGCTCTCTTCCCAATTTCTTCTCTTATTTTATAACACTTCTATTATCGCACTCTCTGTACATCTTCAGAAGGGATCACGCGTTCGCGCGAACGTGCACTCCCGCGTATTCACCATCGTCGCCCTTCTTGTCCTGTTGCATCTGTCCCTCTTTTTTCTACGCACTCCCATCCGCCTCGCCTACGTTGCTCCACTTTCCGTTTCTTCTTCGTTTCTCCCTTATCCGTGTTTGTTCGACGACGTTGTTCCCCTCATGGTGTACACGGTTGTAATTTGCATCGCGCACTTCGGGGTGATTCAAACACAAGCGAAATGCAATAAACGCGAGCGGTAATCCGGCGACGACGATCGTCGACGACGGCGAGCACGAATAATAAGAATATACGCGCAACTTTCCGTACAAGCTTCGCGTACACGGTACGTGTACGCCGCGAAGTTCAAACGTGGCAACTCGCGTCGAACTATGGCGGCGGTTGAAGGGAAATGACAGAAGATCGAAGAAACGGGGGGAAACAGGTGACACAAAACTCAAGAGAGATGAAAAGAGAAGAGAGAGAGAGAGAAAGAGAGAGAGAGAGCAAGAGCGAGAGAGAGAAAGAGAGCGAGAGAGAGAGAGAGAAAGAGAGAGAGAAAGAGAAATATGGGGATTAGGCGAAAATGGGGGGATAGAGAAAACCGTCTCGTTTTTTGCGCGAACAAGTGTCCGAAACGGAAACCGAAACTCCTGAAAAAGGAGGCGGTTCGAGAGTCGTGTACGGAACTGCCGGTCGAGCTCTCGCGACTCGCAGCCGGCGCGATATAGGCGCGAGGAGCGCTCCCCACAATGAGCATAACCCTCTTCCGCCACCTCCACCTTCGGAGCAACCCTGTCCTCTCTGCCGCCCCTAACTCCCGCAGCCACCTTCAGTTCCCACCACGATTTCGCGGGAGGCTGCGGACTGGACCAGCACGCAACCAGCGTGGCCCCCACTACATTCGCGAATGCCGAGGGAGTAGAACCGGGGGATACGAAGGCGTAAGGGGGGTGATACCGCGGGGTTCGAGGGGCAGTGAGAAGGCGGCACGGGGGCGGAGGAGAGTGCCGGAGGACAGCATCCCCGAAGCCCACCCCACAGATCAATATTGTGCCCACTACCGGAGAACTCGTCTCATCTTTCTCGAGCAGCCGTCACGCGCCGCATGCTTCATCTCTCTTACCCCCGGCCATCCCCTTGCGATCTCCCGTAGCTCACGGCCGTTGCCGTGTGTTGCGCGCTCACTCTACCTCCTTCCTTTCTCTCTCTCTCTCTCTCTCTCTCTCTCTCTCTCTCTCACTTATTCTCTCTGTCTTTCTCGCTCACTCCTCCTCTTTCTCATCCTTATTGTCGCCTTCTCTCTCTCAAGGGTAAGTGCGCGTACGAGGGTGTGCGTTGATTCCATCGCGACCGTCGCAAACGATGCTGGAGCATGGTCCAAGTCCGCCAAGGGGGATTAGCCTCGGTGGTCGAGATCCCAGGGACGGCATAGTTTCGGTGTACGGAGAGAGAGAGAGAGAGGGTGCCGACACGATAGGGAGATAAGTAGAGCACGGAAGGATGCTAGAGAGTTGACAGATGAATCGATTGTTTTCGAAGTTGCCGAGAAAACGTGTGTCTAAGACGGAGCCGCTTGAATGGATAGTTGATGGATGGACAGAATGTTATATTGTGAGGTGTTTTAGCGCGCTCGGACCTAGATCCGAGAAGAAGAGTTTTTGTAAGAAAGAGCTGAACACGGCTTTCTTTGCAGTTTTTCACGTAAAAAGACGGTCGAATGCAATATAAATTTACACAAACGAGCGATCTGCCTTTTTTTTGGTTAGAGAATAACTTTAAATCGATTAAGAACTAATGATATACAATGAAAATTTTTCTAGTTCAAATTTTAAAGATAAAAATATCCTATGTAGTTTTTGTAAATAATTACTGCAAACTGTTTATAAAAATCCATAACTCGCAATGTGTACAAACATAAATTAAATATATGATAACAAACTATAAATAAAATAAACTGTGTTTTTAAGTAAAACGACGCACATATAAACTAAAATATCAAAAATGATTGGGAAATGCTTGTGATATTGTTATTTATATTGTTATTTATACTGTTTCATTATATATTGTTATTTAATTAAATATTATTTCTCTTATTCCCTCTCTTACTCTCTCTCTCTCTCTCTCTCTCTCTCTCTCTTTCTCTCTCTTGGTGATACAAGATTTAGTGAACTGATCTGAACAGACAGTCTCTTTATCAACAGCTGTGAAGTACGAAAACTACACCCAAGAAACCAAGATATCACAAGCTGATAAAACTCTCAATTTTAATAAATTGTTCGAAACATATTTTTATTGCAAAATTTGTTTCATAAAATAAAAATAAAGTAGTCTCGTTTTTTGACATTTCTATTCGGCAATTGACTTTAGTACTCGTTCTCGAACTGTTCGATCGAGTCATGAAAATGAAGTGAATCTAAATTGTTTACAACAGATAATATTATACCGACTATATTACAGTTATGTTACAATGTTTTATTACTTGCCCGTATATGAATATTATTCTCAGGTAAGTAAATTCTAGTCGAGAAAACAGATTTTCCGATACAGATTTTCTACATTGCATTTTCTTGTAACAAAATTTCTTTTAATACATGTACTATATTTTTTATATTAACCCGATTGTATTTGATCTATTATTTTCATCGTTTGGGTAATATATTAATACCAGCTAATATTTATCAGAATGCAAAATTAAATATTATACTAGAGATCTTTAAAGAGAAAGAGAGAAAGAGAGTCCGACTCATGAATATAAAATAACATTCAGAAGTTTGACAAGCACGCCTTCTCGCGTCCGCGGTATAATTTTTTTAATCAACGAAATTTATTTATTCATCAAATTTACTCATTGATTTCACGCAATAATAGCATAGTCTGAATAAATTGAGTTAATAATTAATATTTGCATAACTATATATCTAATAACACTTGATCAAAGTTATCATTATACAATGAAAATGAATAATTTGCAATTAAGTATATAAATAATAAAGTTAAATAAGTATGTATGTGTGTATGTCAGTAAATACATGACCTACTGCCTTGTCTAAACAGCGCGTCCTATAATTATGACACACATAAATTAATTTATACTATATATACAAGTATACAAATATATACACACACATATATATATAGTAACATATAAAGTTGCTTGAAATATAGTCTACGCGCAAAATGGAATACTCATATATATATATATGTATACAATACATCCAATGTATCCAATGTGACATTATCGTTATAAGCGTCCACGACAAAGTCCGCGAACAAGTAACACGCTGACTCAAGGATTTCAGCATTTTCCTTCATATATACGAGGTCGTTTACTCATTGTTATAACTTCCTTAGAAGCCATTACAAAGACGCGCGCGCGCTCCCCTCCCCATTTCCAAGATAATTCGGCTGACACAAAGCTGCAACTACCTAAAGTTCACCGAGAGAGAAGAGAGAGAACGGGCAATTTGCCGTACGCTACATTAAATTTCACAAAAGCGGGAAGCGCTTGCCACGCCACTGTAATCACTAATCAAAACTACGTTTCTCTCGCTCTAGAACGTGTCAGGCGTCGCCGTTCGTTCTCGTACCACTTAGCCCGACATCGAATACAATTACAACCTTCCTACTCGGTATGCTAATTACCGCAAGACGCCGGATGAGGCAATACATCGTCATCTTGCCCGCGCGGTGTGTTTCGAGACGGTCAAGGCCCGAGATTTCGCAGTTCCCAGAGGAAACAATGCGATCATAAATTCGCTCTCGCGTTCTCGACAGATTAATCGGTGTAAAAAATCATGTTGAGATGCAAATATCACATGCGAGTTTCTCAAGTGTCGGGGAGAACCGATGGTTACACATTTATCGCGCTATAATCGCTTTTATTTTCTGCGTTAACACATTTCTCAAGAAAGAGAAACGAATGTGTCGACTGATAGGTCGAAATGCTCGCACATATTAATGATAATAAAAAAAAAAAAAAAGAAAAAAACAAACTTTGATGTGAAGAGCGTTCATTAAAAACTACTGAGAGCGCGCTTTTACAGATCTATTCATTCGTTTCGAAGATTATCGCGCGTTGCCCGACAAGTGAGTCCCTTGCGGCGTGATGTTCGGATTGGTCAAGGCTACGAGAGACCGGGACGGACGAGCAGGCATGAAGAATGAGCGATGTTTTGTAGGACGCAGGTACACAAAAGCTGGAAGGGAAAGGTTGCACCTGGCGGCTACGGAGAAGACCGAGAGAAACCCCAACTCACGCCTCGTAGAGGCTCGTCCCTTTCCCCCTCACAGGATTCGGCCCATCCCACTCTTTCTCTTCGCTCGGTCCATTCCTTACGCAGCCGTCCGTCCCCCTTTGAGAATCAGCCTGCTGGCCGTGCACTCGCCCAAAATAACAGAAATTGTGGAGAAATCAGCGTTCCCTTCGGGCCATCTTTGTGGACCATTGTAACGCCACAAGAAGCAACCGAGACTGTTTCGTCGAGGCGGAACGCCATTGTGCTGTATCGTCGAGTTTTCGCTTCTTTGCGATCGTTCTCTTACATCGTCCAGGGATGGTTTGACTTCTGCGCCCTTTTCAATCTCATTGCACTTTAATGCCAATCGCACGAGGCACCAGGTGTCACGGTGTAGTTTCTCCCTCTTCTCTCACTGACGTGTATCGCTCGTCGATCCGCTCGCTATCGCCCGTGTGGACTTTTTATTTACGACGCGCGACGAATCCGATACGGAACGCTCGGTTAAATGCGCGCGCGGGGGACAAAGTTTCTCTCTCGTGTGTGCTCTCGGGTGAAGCAAAACCGCGCGCCATCGACCCAACGAGGGGGTTCTCTTTTCCCTCTACCCCCCTCCTCCCCCCCCGTTCCTCTCGTCGAACTTTGGGGTCAAACATTCGACGTTGGGAACGTCTATTTGGGTCACTCGGTTCGCGAACAGATCACTCGAAACTTTTGCGCAATTGACGTATCCGGGATGGAATGTGTGCGATCTGTGCAAATATGTGTTTTCCACGTTGGATGCTTCGGATGAAACGGAAATGTTAACGCCTTCGCTTATCTAGTTTCGGATGCGAGTCGTCGTCTGCGTATACACGAGACTCTCGCCGCAGTCGATGACGCTCCCCCTCTCCCCATCTGTTATGACAGGGGTGAAACTTCGAAATTGGATTTCTGTTATAATAAGAACGGAAGAGAAAGTGGCAAAAAATTTATTTGTAATATAAATATTTTCCCGAGAATCGCTACGTAAATACATAATATTCCGGAGAGAGTTAGTCAAAAAAAATGTTTTTCATGTACAATTTTTAACCAAGTCCGCGTATTTTTCTAGCGAAAATTTCGAGGAGAAATTTCGATACGTCGATCGTTTTCAATTCTCACGACAATTTCGTTTCCTGAGATACAAGTTTTTTGAAGAAACTAAAATTCTTCTTACAATTAGATGTTGCTAGAATCAACGTCGGATTTGCTCGCGCAAAGCGTAAAGATTTGTGATGATACCGCGCGGCCGCATTTTTTTTTTTTTTCTTTACAAATGTCTCCCATATATAGGCGGAAAAGAAATCAGAGGTAGAGAAAATATAGAGGTGGAAAAAAATTTCTATGCGAGAGAGAAGAAAGGATTGATTAATCGAAAAAGATGAATGGGTTTAAACAAATCCGGTGAAATATTGCAATACCAGTCGTCGAGGTTAAAGTGGGTT